GTGCATCCAATTCAAAGTCCTCCTCTTCTCTAACAAAGCCCTCCACTGCCAGGCCCCCTCTTACCTCACTGACCTGCTCCACCAACGCACTCCTTCCCGCAGCCTCCGCTCCTCTGATGCCAACCTCCTGACTCCACCACTCAGGACCAAGCACCAAACCTTGGGCAACAGAGCCTTCTCCATAGCTGCTCCCTCCCCACACACATTTGAGACTGCACTGACCTCTCTCAGTTCAAATCACTCATCCAAACTCAGCTTTTCAAGACGGTTTGAAATGTGTGAATGATGTTATGTGAATTTTACTGTATTCTATTTTATGATCATTTTTAACTGATGTCAAGTGTCTTTGAGTACCACAGACAGCGCTCCATAAAATGTATAAATATTACTATTATTGTTATTATTATTATTATTATTATTATTATTATTATTGTATTACCATCATATGTAGCAGAGAATCAGCATCATATCACTTAAAAATACCAACAAGTGGTAGATCATATGCTCCCACCATCTGAATATGACCCACAGGAGACTTTCCCAAATTAGGACCCCTACTGATAGACAACAGAAGAGCTCATTTATGACCGTTAACGGTCGCAGTGTTAAACTCCTGGTCAGCGTTGTGAAACGGTTGCAGTTACACCAAAACTATGTGGTTAGGTTTAGATAAAAGCTCATTGTTTGGCTTAAAATAAATACATTTGTTGCTAAGGTAATGTCCCATGACATGATGTCTCATACATCACATATTAAGTTGTTAAAATAAGTCAAAGTTGACTTTTGTTTCACACAAGACACAAACGCTGGTCTTTTGAATGAAAGTCCTGTGCTTGTTTGACCCATCCAATCCTTCACAATAGTTCCCTAATAAGACTGCTGTCTGGGAAAATAACATAAGTAATTTCTGCTTGTAAAAGTTGCCTACATGTAGTCATGTTTTGGGGGAGGATCGTCAAAAAAAAGACATGAAACAATGGACAGATTTTTAAATGAATTTGTTGATCAAATAAACCCCATAAATATTAATCAACAGAAATTCTGTAGTGCAGGTCAGTTCAAGTTACTTTACAAAAATAAAATATCTATACAAGAAGAAGAAGAAGAAGAAGATATACCTTATCAATCCCTGAGGGGAAATTCAATTTTTTTCACTGTTGTCACATACACACAAGCCCGAAATACACAGAGAGAGACACACACACACACACACACACACACACACACACAAACACACACAAGCAGGACCTATACATGCATTAAATGGAGAGATGTCAGAGTGAGGGGGATGCCCATCGACAGGCGCTCTGAGCAGTTGGGGGTTCGGTGCCTTGCTCAAGGGCACCTCGGCAGTGCCTAGGAGGCGAACTGGCACCTCTCCAGCAGCCAGTCCACGCTCCATATTTGGTCCTGGTGGGGACTGGAGCCGATGACCCTCCGGTTCCCAAGCTAAGTCCCTATGGACGAAGTTACTGCCACCCATGTATGTCTGTTTGTCTGTATGTATGTCTGTATGTCTGTTTGTATGTATCTCATGTCACATCCAAGTACTGAATATGTTTAGTCATAAAGAATGAGCTTGTACACCTGTATTAATTTATTCTTTGTACCTTGTAGGATTTGTAGTTTTTTAAGAAATATGTTGTTCACCAGTTTATCCTTCAGTGTTAATAAAGACTAATCCACTTTTTCTGTACCAGAGAGTCTTTTCATGTTTTGTTTTTTCTTAACATAAGTGTGTTATTTGACTGTACTTCAACAGAAGACACATCATGATTAGTGCTGTTCCATGTGGCATTAGTCACTTTCTTTGTCTTTCTGCCTACGCCTGTCTTTCTTTTTCTACAGCACACAATTCTCTCTCCTGTATAACCAGCTGCAAGTCAACATACAGTTCGCACATACAGTTCATATAAACATGTATAAACACAAGCACGTACACTTGTGCATTCACTGCCAAAACACAAATACTGTCTCATACAAAAGACACACAAGCACACACACAGAAAAGAGGCATATTATGACTCAACCATGAGTGCAGGATGACAAATCTGATTTCACAAGAACTCAACATTTGTGTGGCCGCCTACTCAAGCGTTGCAACACGGTATCTGCTTAAAAACACAAGAACATGCAATCACGCTCTACCACTGTCTATCACATACACAGACAAGCTTAGATGCACTTTAACTTGTCAACACCTTCTTTGTTAAACGTTCTGTCTCTTTAAAGGCAACGAAGTGACTGAATAAACTTATTTGTTATGCCTATTGTACGATATAAATAAGATCATTACAAAGGACTGTTACCTGAAACGTCTCTACTTTCCGCTGCTTCTGAGAGAAAAGAAAAAAACACAGAAGATTTACATAATATGAGTGAGACTTTTATATTCCTCTAATGAGTTGGTTGTAGAAATCACAGAAGGGCTATGATTATAATGAGATGCATGTTGACACAGGCTAGCCTTTTCCTCTGCAGCAGCATCACCCAGTGGAGTTAAGGGTTTATTACAGTATACTAATGTGAAATTATGTTTCAGAACCATCTTTGAAAGGCTGCTTTGTTCAGATCATGTCAGCATGTATGTCCCATAAAATAAATTCCTCATGCACGGGTCTTTCAAATATAAACTGTTGTTTCTCTTTAAAGCCACTCAGCTCAGACACAGTGTTTACCCTCATGCTCCAGGCCAGAGGGAAACAGCCCTCACGTGATTGGTGCAGAGGTGGGCTCGTACTCAGAAGATGCATCTGATTGGTCCCTCGCTGTGAATCACATTGACTTTCAGAGGGAAAATGCAGAATGACTGCAGTGCCTTTTAATTGGAGACACTGATGATATATAAACACACACACACACACACCCACACACACACACACATCACATATAGTACAGTGACAGACAAAATCCCCTATCACATGTTAGAGTTAATCATTAGCAGTGTATCAGTGTTCACATCTTTGGGTGTCAACAAGCCATTTCTTAGCATTAACAATTTAAATGAGTGACACAATGGAGACTCTCTAATTGTTTGAGTTTTGTTGTTACATTTGCACATTACCAACACAAAGAAACATGTGCATGAAAAATAAACAAAAGTTTCAGCAGCAAAGTAACAAACAAGTCCACAACCATTCTAGTGTCGTCGTCTGTGACAAGAAAAATATTAAGCGCACATAGGCCTATGGCAGATGTGATGCAAGGCCCTTATGTTCCCTGTGGTCATGGATCCTAACCATAGACTGTATAAAATAATGGACAACAGCACCAGGGCCTCCCATTGGTTTGTGGACTTCCATTTTAAAGCCACTAGTTTGGCACTTTAGCCGACACCAAAGATATTTCTAGGTATAGTTAACTGTGATAATGCTAATGCTAATTTTTGCTACCAAACAGGCTTAAAAATGTACTTACCAGAAAACAGGGGGTCTTTGTAGAGGGTCTTTTACTAAGACTCTGAACAGCAACTTTTTAGATGACCAAAACATTACAATTACCTGAACTGAAATACCTGAACTGAAATAGCAAAAGCTATGGCTACACCTATAGACCAAATCACTGTGATGTTTTTCTAACACTTCCTGGTAGATGACTGACAATTGTTTCGCAATGTGTATATATCAATTTTACAAACTTGTTTATTTCTTTTGTCATTTTCAGCCATAACTGTAATGTTCTAAGATATATATAATTAAACATGTGGTCTGACTGATCTTACATTTCTGCTGTGCCTAGTTTATGTAGGCTACTGTGTTGCTTTGCTATCATCTTTGATAAACCAAATCTACCAGCGCGAAAGCTAAATAATGTACTGCTGTGGACAGGGGCTGCAACAATATTTATTTCAGCCACCCAAAAAGACCCACCAAAAAACTTGTATAGGTTTAATTTTATGCTATATCTGGAATATTTTCTCTGCTTTACTTTACACACTAACTGATTGAGACAGCAGTAGACCAGCAACTCCTGTCACTGGAGTCTGGTGGCTTTAAGATAATAGCTTCAGCTAGGGAGGACTGCCTGATGAAAAGATAAAGTGGTGAAAATAATCATAATATAGCATTAACTTAAACTGATACTTAAATATATTTTTAGGTGGGACTTTCTTAGTTAGCCAAACACCACCCAATTGCTCAGTGCAGTTTGATATTATGTGTCTGGCACAAGAGTTTTCTACCTGGAAGTTATTGTAAACAAGCATTGTGATTCAGTCTATAGACCAATTTAGGGTGGATGTCACAGTATAGTCACGGTAGTTGTGCGCGCTTCACGATGGCAGAAAAACACTGCAAATGTGTGAGATACCCAGAAAAAAATGTCTTGCTGTGTTCATAGGCTGTATGGTTGTGCCACTGAATGTCCAAAAAAACCCACCTTCATTTTTATAGAAAACTGTTGCTGAAGACGCTGTTAGTCAAACAGTGACACACATATAAAGACTTGCACTGATGATGATGATGCTATGATGATTGGTGGTGGTGGGGTCCCTTTGCATGTCTCTGCCCAGGGGCCCATTATCTCATAATCTCATAATCTGCCCATGTCTGTAACTGCTGGATGTGTCATAACTCAGTAACTTCCCAACACATTCGCCATATTAAGTTCATAAACTCATTGCACTGTCCTGGAGCGACCAAAGAAATCAATAAATGCAGGTCTCATCAATAATTTATCATCAATAAACAAATAACATCATGACAATCACATGATAAATGTGTAATAATCTTGTTATTGTTTGATTTTGACTTTTTGAATTTGCCTGCTCTGTGTTTTAGAACCAATGGTAGTTTTTTGGTTGCCATGGTATTTTAGCCTGACATCAAAACATGATGTCACAGAATGGAACTCGGAATCACCACCAAAGACCTCGGAACACACAGAAACTGGTAAGTAGACCCTCTCTCCACAATTCAGCAGAGATTTACACAAGTATTGGAGAGACACACACACACACGATTTTTCGAAGACATTCCTATTGAGTACGCTCACAAAACAACATGGACGCTGAGACGTCAAAAACTCTACATTCTCTGAACCCAGAGAACGATTCATGTAAGTGTGAAATCCTGTCAAACAGCTTCACCTGTTTTTACATGCAAAAAGTCACTTATTGTCACTTTTTCTGTAGTTCAGCGTGTTTTTCATGCAAAAAGTTGAAATATTTGTCAGTGCAGTCAAAATATTTTAACCTGTTTACAAAGTCATTAATTTAATTTCTTCTGAATGTTTGATACAGTTGTGCTGTTGCTGAACAAGTTCCCCGGTCCATCAGAGAAACGATTTGTTCGTCCTTTTCTGTGGACGCCTTTGAGGAAAACAGCTCCACGAGTTCAAGGTAAGAAAGCACGACTAATTGATTTACAAATGGTCATTTAATGGGTTGAGTCTTCCTTTAAGTACAGTGACTTAAATGTACTTAGTCACTTGCTGACACTGATAACGGTGTAGACATAGCGATGGTGGGTAGTCATGTAAGGCATCTGACTTTTATGTAGGAGATCAAACTTTGTGTCTTGTCACAGACCTGAAATTCACTTTGTAAACTGTGACCTTGTAACAGTCTTTACCTGACCTTACAGTATTTTACATGTGCACATGTTGTGGGGAAAACAATTAAATTTGAAACTGGTGGGACTGAACATCACAAAACAATGTTGTTAAACTTAATACAGACTTTCACAGAATCATTTAAGATCAACAAGTTAATGTAACGTGGATTTCTCTTGTCTGTAGAGTTCAAACCCAAGATCTGCCAGGGAGAAGACTCTGAGGTGACAAGCCAAAAAAGAAAGATCAGCTTGGATCGTCCAGAGTCACCCAGAAAAAGGCAGCGAGGTGCTAATGAACCCACTGAAGTGGCAGTGGAGACTGTGCAGGCCAAGGGGATCAAGAGGAAGGCCAGCACCCAAACCAAGACCCCCAGTAAGAAACAGAGGGGTGACAACTGTGACGCAAACACTGACAAGCCCACTGAGGTGTCAGTGGTGGGCGTCACAGAGACTGAGGGTCAGAAGGAGGCCTTTGCTGAGCATATGCCAGCAACAAGGACTCCCAGGACGCCAAGAAGGGACAGCGGCTGTGAAGTCTCCCCGAGCTCCAGCAGCCCTTCAGCCTCCCAACAGGACAACGGGAGGGCGTCCGACTCAGTCAGCTACAGCAGAGGTAAGCTGATAGTGTGAGAAATAATTAGATGACTGTATGTGAGTGTGTGTTTGTGAAGTGGACAGCCGAGACAGCCCCATAAACAGTTACTATGTCCACACTCTCGCTAACTGCTTGCTTGGTGGTTGTTTACACTTGTATTCAGCCCTGTCCACTTGTGATCAGATCACCCGAGATACATGTTAATACCAGATATAAACAGGCTCAGTGTTAGACGTTACTCACAACTGTGCTAAAACATGACTGTTGTGTGTTTGTGTGTGTGCAGCCAACTTTAAGGCCAAGTACCTGCAGCTTCATAAGCTCGGAGAAGGAGACTTTGGTTCAGTCTATGCTGGAGTAAGAAAGTCCGACAGTTTACCGGTAAATATAACATCCGTATTCTCACATCACACATACACACAAAGTCATCACTCCCTGTACTAACCAAAGCACCGGTGATTCTGTCCTGTAGGTGGTGATCAAACGCATCCCTAAAGCTCGCGTCAAATATCAGCAAGTGGTGAGTGACTTAATCTGATGTCTCAGCATCAACTGTTAAAATCATGGTTGAACTTTTTCACTTTGTTGTTACTCTGTTGTTGACGAGGAAAACACACATTCACAACCACCTCTATTAAAACACACATTCACAACCACCTCTATTAAAACACACATTCACAACCACCTCTATTAAAACACACATTCACAACCACAATCACAAATTTTGTTCTGTATTTTGTTTCTTTCAGATCATAAATGGGATGTCGCACTCGCTCCCTCTGGAGGCGGTCCTAATGATGAAGGTGGCAAGTGGACCACATTTAGTGGGACAGTCTGCTGCTGTCACATTGTTGGACTGGTATGATCTGGACCAGGAGATACTCCTGGTCATGGAGAGACCAGTCCCCTCTATGGACCTGTTGGACTATGTCAACAGCTGTGATTCTCTGACAGAAGACCAGGCTAAGGTACTGAAACTGGTTGGAGCATGTTTTCATATCTGTGTGTGGTGTTACCTTAAAACTGTGCCAAGCTTACAGTTTTCAGTGTTGTCAGTGTCTGTGGAGAGTTGAGGGCTGCTATCACACCTACATTTTTAAAATTTGGTGCATACAAAAACCTAAATCTTAAACTTGTTTCATATTTAGTTACCACTGTCTAGTAGTCCACCTTTATAAAGGGTTCCTAAGTTGTAAGTAATGGAGTTATTATTAGTTAATAGATTATATAGTGATGCTGGATTGTTTTTGCAGTGTGTGTTGAGTCGTCCCAAACAGCCAATGTTAGCTCTAAGCTTGCCAGCAGTCCTTTTTGTCTTATCTCTGTAAGTTCATGAATTGGAGTCATAAAGCCTCAAGATGAGAGCAAAGCTTCTGCTGGAGCAGAAACATTTTCTTGCCTCAATTTGTGCAACCCTTTGTGGATCAAAATTTGCATCAACATGGACTTTATTTGCAGTCCGGCTTCACGGTCAATTCAGAAACGCCTTTACACCCAGGCACCCTTACATTGTGTTATCTTTGGTGTCACCAGCGTTTAAATGTCATTGTTCTCAGCTCAGTTCTCAAATGGACGTAACTGAACTTTGAGCAACAGTTTTGTGTGGAAGCACAAACACATTGTCACATAATGTGAAAGTACCACCCTACACTCCCTTCGTCACTCCACTATAACTCATCTGTTTGTCTTTGTCTCTGTCTCAGAACATCATGAAGCAGCTGGTGGACGCGTGCATCAAGATGCACTCGGTGGGAGTCTTCCATCGGGACATCAAAACGGACAATGTCCTCATTGAGACCAGCTCCGATGTCCCCCAAGTGCGGATCAATGATTTTGGATGTGGCTGCTTAATTAAGAATGAACCCTGTCGTGTCTTTGCTGGTAAGATGTCTGCCTTCTGCTCCTGCTCTTCATCCATCTGTTGATCTCTGGAGCGATGACTTTCATTGAAAACTCACTCCTCATTCTTTATTTCTCTCTGTCTCTGTGTGTGTGTGTGTGTGTATTGTAGGAACATTTGCATACGTACCACCAGAGTACCTGAGACACAGAACATATGAGGCAGGTCCCACCACAGTCTGGCAGCTGGGCGCACTGCTGCATGACATGCTGCTGGATCAGTTCACCACCTACAGCTTACTCCGCAAAGGTTTAAAGTCCAGCAGGCAGTTGTCTAGAGGTAAGACAATGCTGTTGTCAATACAGCACCTGAGATTTGGTACTGACAATAACTGCAGCTCCCACCCTAATCTTTGCTTCGTTCTCTGCCCTCTCTCTTCTAAGGCTGCCTGAATTTGTTGAATGTGTGTTTGGCTGTGGACCCAGAGGATCGCCCCACTCTGGAGCAGATGCAGCAGCTCCCCTGGCTCAGACAATCCTGAAACAACCACCACTAAAGGCCACTAAAGTTGGCCTACCTGCCTGGGCTGCCGCCGCTCTCTGAACGCATCTTGCCAAATGCAAGATGAAATGAGTTATGAATGTTATTAATGAGTCTGAAAGACTACTATGCTGCTATTCACTTGCACTCTGCTGCAAGCATCATACTTGCTGTTGTGCATTTCTGTATATGTTTATGTTGCCTTTTCTTTGTCGTGGAAGAGCATAAGAAGGACACTGCTCCTATGTATTTCCACTTCTTTTTGTTGCTGGCCTGCCGTCCACTCCTGCCCTGTTCCTCTCTCTGGTTGCAGGTGTATGTGACCCGCAGGTTTCGGCACATTTTTTAAACTGCTCTTGGTCAAACAGCTGTCTAAAGGCTTTTGACAGATGTGAAAAACACACAGAAAATTGAATTTGTTGTGAAACTTTGATGATAAGTTTCGGAGTTGGTGTTTTAAATGTGATTGACATGATGTGAGGTCATAGTTTGACAATGCATGAAAAAGGATATATTTCATGTATTCTGTCGTACTGTGCACAATATATACCTATGTGATATTTTTCTCCCTGTTGTATATCTTTAATAAACTGCTCTTGTATTGCATCTGAAAACATTCTTTTAGTTCTTTGTCAGTGTGTGGGCGATTTCCCCCATAGAGACTAAAATTTAACACACTTCAAACACTAAAAATATGACATTAATATAGAAAATGTGGATTTTTTTCACACTGGTCCTGCACACATGCATGTGCACAATATTATGAAATAATACACACATTGTTATAACAAGGAGTTGCCTTAGAAAAGAAAATAGATAAAAAGAAAGAAAAAAATCACAGAATCATGATCCTATGGGATGTCACTCCTCTTATCCAGAAAAAAATCAATTAATCAAACCATTCTGCAGTCTTCTGCAGAGCCTTGACATGCTCATTTCAGTGAACACAAACTCAATAGGCACAGGGTTATGATTTGCCTCTCACGCTGGCTGCTGACTCCTGGCTGTGCAAAATGCCGTTTGAGAAAAGTGGTTGTTTGAGTAGAAATTACTGTCATCAGGTTTAGGTCTTCATTAGGGGGTGACTGATCACAGTGCCTTGGTCTCTGCTGGCTCTGCACTTTATACAAACTGAGTCTTTGTGCATTTTTAGTGGCTAATCTCTCAGCAAAAGAATCAAACTACGTGTTGTCTAATGCATAAACTCCTGCCCACACAGGTGGGGAAAAAAGTTGAAGTCCATTTCAGTCTTGGGTCTTCATCAGGCATCATATTCCCAACACAGAATACTGTCTTTATAATAATAGAGCCATAAGCTGGAAAAGACTAATGAAACTGCTGCCTCTGTGTGGTGTTATAAACTTGTGAAGGCTTGTTCCCAGTAAATGTTTAGTTCCTTATAGTCAATGTACGCCCTCAAATAAAAGCTGTGTATTTGTCTTTTTAAGGAAAAGGACAACCAGCCTATTTGAAGAACAACCTGACAGATACAGATACATAACACATTAAAAAGGGATTGTCTTGGAACTCAAAATGTTAAATACCAGTATTAGTCTACGCACATCAGATAATAAATAATATCAACAGTAAAATAATAAACCAAAGTATATCAGTATGCATTCATTAATTCTAATACAGACATGGTTTTTAACTAACCTTTACTTCAACAGCATAAAAGAATTCCTAAAATTATGGCTTTCTTTTTGTGGCCCCATCTGACCAACCCTCTGAGAAATTTCTGGGGGTCGCTGCTGTTCAGGACAAAGAAAGCACATCAGCTAGTAACCGGCTCAATTTCACAAACTGGAAAATAAACCCAGCTTGGGAATCAAACAGCTCAGGTGGCTGTCTACAAGATATAAATGATGACAAAATAAAAATAAATATGAGAAAAAACATTTGCTCTTTTTTCTTTCTGTTTGTTTACACAGTGAAAACATCACATATATCAACACAACACAGTATATCTACTGTCAATTCTGTGCAATATTTATTTATTCCCCAAAGTGAACCTCACTGCAAAATATCCTTTACTAATATTCTTTGCAGTATGCCTCTCTATGGTATCTGCCTTTGCAAGGCAACACTGTTTAAATTGTTCTTACATTGTTTTTAATTTTGATACCACACACCATGTATTACATCCGATGTGCAATTATCCTGTACAGCTGTCAATATATACCCATACATATATTCATATATGTTATTCTTTCCATATGTGCATAAGTGAAAGTTGTATATAGTGTAAATAGTATTGAGTGTGTAGTTGTGTCTAAATTTAGTACTTTATATTTTATATGTTTCTAATTCTGGTATATAGACTATCTTTTTGTATTTTATCTTTATTCATTATTTTAAGTATTCTATTGCCATTCAACTTTTTTTTTTATCTGTGATATTTGAGCTGCAGTAACAAGTGAATTTTCCCATTAAGGGATCAACAAAGTGTTTTTTATCTTATCTTATCTTATCTTATCTTATCTTATCTTATCTTATCTTATCTTATGATCAAATACATTCTGTAGGAGCAAGGAATGTGTTATGGTCACATGCCCGTCACTAGGTCTCTGTTGGTCGGCTAATTGTGGGCATGTGTGTGTATGCCTGTGTGGAGGTGTGTGTGTGTGTGTGTGTGTGTGTGTGTGTGTGTGTGTGTGTGTGTGTGTAGGTCACCATAAAATCACCTCCACCTGTTGACCATCAGTCTCAGTTTTGTTTATAACACACAAAGGAAGAGTAGGGTGACTTAATTCCTTATTTTTGTCCAGTTTTGTTGCAATATCTGAGAGCATCATGTAAGGTAAACATGTCTGTTTGCAATAAAAAAGAACCCATTTGCATAAACATAACTGGTAATTATAACTGGTTAGGCCAGCACTGGAATTCTATGACAGGTCTTTATGATCTGTGATGCATGTTGGGGTTGTCAGACTGTGATAATCACAAAGTAACTACAAATAAAAAAAATAAAATTCCTATTTAATTTATTATTATTATTATTATTATTTAAAAATAAAGTTTTAGGGGAACTGTGAAACTGCACCTACTTAGGGCAACAAAAAGTTAATCTTGGGTGCATCGGTCAATGGATAACCAAGAAAGGACAGCAGAAGAGAAAAATTAATAATACAAAAAAGTTCATAAAAACAGCAGCAAGCGTTTCAGTCCTTGACTTTCATCAGTTATTTTTTTGCACTTTGAGAACCCTTCTTTTTGTGCATGAATGTCCTAAATAAACTGACATTTCTTTGCAGTGATCTCAGCCTGTGAACCTTTTTTTGTGGCTGTCCAGCCCAGTTGCATTGGTGTGCAGGTATCTCTTCTGCCGTCCTGTTTAATTTTCAAGCCTTTTTTATGTTAACTGGTTCAACAGTGTTTTACTTGATACAATTTATATTTTCACATTTTGGCACAACTATAAATTATCCAACCGTGGGAAGTAATTAAGTGCATTTACTTAAATACTGTACTTATTTATAAACACTTATTGATGAACATGTTATTTACTTTAGTACTATTTATTGTACAGTACTATGTATACTATACCACTACTACACTTAATTCTAAAATATATATATATTTTTTTTACCTCACTGCATTTATCTAACAGCTCCAGTTACTTTGCAGATTGCTATAGTACACTCAGAACATTTGATAAGCTGATAAAATGGGATGCATTTTCATACATTGAATGTAAAATATAAAGCTCCACCTCCATCTCCACCTGCAGCAGCATTAAAATGCAGATTAAACATTTATACATTGATAATGATCCAGTCATATCATATCACACTCTTACAGGAGCCAATCAGACTCCAGGGTGGCAGTCGCCCATAGGGACTTGGGTTGGGAACAGTTCAAGTCCTGTCTGGACCAAATATGGAGAGTGGACTGGTAGCTGGAGAAGTGCCAGTTTGCCTCTTTGGCACTACCAAAGTGAGCAAGGCACCAAACCCCCAACTGCGTGGGGCACCTGTCCTTAGGCAGCCCCCTTGCTCTGACATCTCTCCATTTAATGCATGTATAAGTCCTGTTTGTGCATGTGTGTGTAATTCAGGCCTGTGTGTATATGACAACAGAATGAAAAAAAAATGAATTTCCCTTCTGGGATTAATAAAGTATATATTTGTCTCCTTAATGAGTGTTTTTACTTTTGTACAATATTTTGCTGCTAACCGAATAATTCTCAACTGCTTGAAAATATGGCAGCAAATTAAGAAATGCTGCAAGTTGCCTGACACTTCTGTTTATAGCCCATTGTGTCGTAACCATGCATTTCCCCCTTCATTCTCTGACCCAACTTTCTACAGTTGGAAGCTAAAGGCATAGTCATTTTAAAAGATCTGTACATTAACAAAGAGTTTGCTTCATTCATTCAGTTAAAAGACAAGTTTTCTCTTCCATCATCACACTTCTTAAGATACCTACAAATCAGGAACTATGTGCGCCAAAATGTGCCAAATTTCGAGTCTCTCCCTGAGGATAACAAGGTTTATAAACTTTTGCTCGGCCCTCCTGATGCAAAACATTTGATTTCTGATTTTGTTGAGGTATTTTCTGGTCAAGTGAATTTTTCCACTCACTCTTTAAAGACAGCTTGGGAAGATGAGTTGGGGTTACAGATTGATGATAATGTTTGGGAGGAGAGCCTCAGTAGGATTCAATACTGTTCAATTAATGTCAGACATCAGTTAATTCAATTTAAGGTCACGTATAGACTTCACTACTCAAAAACTAAGTTACATAGAATCTATCCTACAGTCTCTCCTTTATGTGATCACTGTAAGTCTGCTGATGGCTCCCTAGCCCATATTTTCTGGACGTGTCCAAAGTTGCATGATTTCTGGAGTAAAGTGTTCAAATGGTTTTCTGAAATGTATAATTGTGTGTTCAAGCCCGAGCCAGAGGTGGCACTGTTTGGCTATTCTCTGTCTTTACTGACTCATACCCTCCCTGTCCAGAACACTATTATGTATGGAATGATAATATCAAAGAGACTGATTTTGATGCACTGGAAGTCAGAAATTGTACCTGTTTTCAAGATATGGCTGACAGAACTTACCTCTGTACTGCACATGGAGAAAATTCGATACAGCATGATGAACAATCTTAAGAAGTTCTACCAGACTTGGCAGCCATTTTTAGACCATCTTACTAAGTTTAATGGGGACCCTGATCATTGATAAGATCTATAATAGGCCACTCACCTCTTCCTTGAGAATTTGTGTTTGAACTTAGAGTACTAGTGATGCAGCAATGTATGTCATTGCTTGAAGTGCGTGTCCTGTTCAGTTTCTGCTCTTGTTTTATTCACTCTTTTTATTTGCCTTTTTTTTTTTTTTTTTTTTTTTTTACTTTTATCCTTATTTTTCTTGTATGTCTCAAGATATTGTGCAAAAAAAAATCATTTTGCTGCTAACAGTCTGGTGGAACTATGAAAGCAGGTTTATTTTGATATTGTATTATTTTAACTTTTATTAACGACAAAGATAAAGAAGTCAAAACTCCAGCAACTGTTAATGTATAAAGAACAACCTACCTCGGACACAGGTGAAGTCACAAATCCCTACTATGATTCAGTTAAATGTCTCAATCCTTCCTTCACTCCTGACAGTTTATTTTACCTATTATTTTAATTACATATGGAGTGAAAATTACCTACAGTTTGGAAACACCTCTGCTCTCACCTCTGATGGTGGATTTTATCACCAGTGTTGATGCAGTTGCAGTAGAAGACCACTAGGTGTCACCGGAGACCACTGATTGGAGCAGTGTGTGCAGCGGACACCAGGTGGCTGGGATTAACGGGCTGTGGAGCCGGCAGTGGCGCTGTGTAGCTAAACCTGCTATACTGTATGCGCACTTCTGGCCTGTACAGGCCCATACAGACACTGATCAACAGCTGAGTGCAGCCACGAGGCCCTGCAACTGTTCCAGCTTAGTTTCCCATTTTCCTGCGTGATCCACCGCAATATGAAAAGCACAATCTGTTGGCCAATTTAGTGGGTGTGAGTGTAAACATTCACCATTTTAACTGCTTCCCTCAATCTGTTGTAACTGTGGGCAGGCCATACTGCACACTGCACACAGGAACAGTGGGGGGAAATAATAATCAGCAGTGACAGCAGCTTGCAGCTGTCACATGTTTGGTAATTGTATATGTTTGCCTCCAGTTAGCTTTCCTATTTTCAGGAAAGATAACTGATATAGACATCCATGATGTGACTCCAGGTTGGAGGTTTAGGACAATTTGCCATGATTACCATCATCTGCTGGATTCAAGTTTGATAGGAAAAGCAAGCATCCTCAGTTAGGTGTGAGGAATGATAGCAAGAGGCCATGTCACCTTCAGGGACTGGCTGGGCTTCTTCAGAGCGGTGCAGAGGTCAGCTGCTGCCCTGTGTCTGCCTGTCCTCTCACCTACTTGATACCAAGGCTCATTTAGTAGGCCAAGGCTGACATTAGTGCTGAGACTGAGCAGATATGCAGCACAGAAGAAAATACATCCCTGTAATTTACACCACAGATCACAGGCATGTCTGTGCTGCTCAGCTCATTCCTATGAATACTTGTATACGCTCAGGCTGAGTTGGTAACCCCCTGTCTGAATAGGCTCTCTCCCATGGGGGGAAACTGTGTTGTTGACACCACAATGTACACAATGTGTGTGTGTGTGTGCCTTTTAGGTTTGGACTGCAATGCATCGTACACATCAGCCATATTCTTATGTCACTGGGTTTGTCAAAGCACATAATCCTTCTTATATAAATGCTTTTTTTTTGCCCTGGATAGGAGTACGTGAGAGATGAAGCAGCTGTATCTAAATAAAACAGGAACAGTCAGTGATGCATGTAGGCATGCAGAGCAATCATGCTACAACTTTCAGTGCATCTCCACCAGGCCAAGGAGCCTCGGCACATAGCTTGTTTGCATACAACCACAGTAGGCTAAAACACATATGATGCATAAACAGTTTTGGTAATGAGTCATACTTCATAGGCACAGCTTATCAAGGCCTGAGTCGCTTGTTTTTCCCCCACTCTGTTCAATTGTCTGCCAGCATCATCACGTCATGTCAATTTTACTTTACAGCAATCCAAGTTAGCACACAGAGACTCTCATAAACCTTTACCGTCCACAATATTGTCATATAAACTGGTGTACATTTAATCATCTACTACATTTTGTTAGCATTGATTTTGGCAGTGGAAGAGCAGGTTTGTTTTGACACGCTGCTGTTTATCCTACGAATACTCTTCCAGACTGTGCACATTATGCAGTTTTTACTCAGAGGAATTGTGCATTAATGTTCACGTAAATTAAGTCTGCTCTCACCAAAAGACCCATTTAATCTTCGAAGAGGAAACCTGCAAGAAAATTAGCGACACCTTTTGAGTGCCCCGTGCCACACACACACACACACACACAACTGATTTATTAAAAAAAAATGTTTATTGACATCAGAAGCAATTTAAATCTCAACAATAAACAAGGCATTTTTTTCTCTTATTCTTGCTATTACAGTGGTACATAAAGATCAGTAAAACAACTGTGATACGTCAATTTTGATAACATGTCATTTAAAATAAAAACACACAGGAAGAAGAAAAAAAAAAAGAAGAAACACTCAGATCTAACTCAGAACATTTTTATGTGCTGTGCACCACTAGCTAGGGTAAATACTGTAAGCCCACCCCTTTACACTGTACCAGGCAGGATAGTGGTCTAGGAACTATCACTGAAAAAATAAGACTGGCAGAAAGATACAGACACGATACTTGTGTAGTGTCAACTATACAAAAAGGAGAAAAAAACTGTACAGCATAAAAACAACTGATATACACAGCCTTTTTTGTTGTTTTTTTTCCTACCCCTTGCATACTAACGTATTTTCTTTCGGTAAGTGAAGTGTGTACAAGGGGGTTAAATGCTTTATAAACAAGAAAATGACCACTACATATGCCGCTCGCTGACTACTCGTCATCATCGTCGTAGTCGTCCTCCTCTTCCTCCTCGTCCTCCTCATCATCATCGTCATCATCGTCCTTCTTCTCTGCCTTGGCCGGGGCTTTTCCTGCTGCTGCTGCACCGCCACCGCCACCAGTTTTGCTCTTAGCACGATATGCTGCGACCTCCTGCAATAAAAGAGTAAAAATAAACACTTAACTAATGCAGGAGCCCGAACTTTGGTTTGTAATTTAAGCTCACAAGGACGAACCACACAACGTGAATCATCTTGTCGCCTCAATGCAATACATCACCATCTCTTTACCTTTTCATACTTCTCCTTCAGTTTTGCTGCCTTCTTCTCAAAGGGCTGCTTGTCCTCTGAAGCAGTGCCGTTCCACATCTCACCCAGCCTCCTGGCAACATCTCCAATAGACAGACCAGGGGTCTCGCCTTTCACCTTAGGGCGATACTCTGAGCAAAAGATGAAGAAGGCAGATCTGGAAGACAAGAAGGGGAAATAAAGAGAGATTCATATTGTGTTTTTCCATTTCAAGAGGCTGTAAGATCAAGTGTTGACCTGCAGTACTTACGGGGGTCTCTTGGGGGCATTGGGGTCCTTGTACTTCTTCTTCTTGCCTCCCCTGGTTGGGACAAAGTTCATCATCTCCCTCTCATAGCGAGCCTTGTCCTGCCTGGCCAGGTCCTCAAATTTTCCCTTCTCCTTGGAAGACATTGTCTGAAAACAGAAAGGTGACTTGTTTATTGTACTGTCTGAGTATTCCCTTTGCCTCAGACTCCTTAGGGTCTGGGAGGGTGCTGCAATGTCTTACTTAGTGCACAATGTGAGCATCTCTGTAAAACTATCCAACAACATCCTGCACCTGAATTATCCAATGTAAAGTGACATATGGTCAGTTCTCGAGAATAAAATCCATCCACCCAGCTTACCTTCCATCGCTCAGAGCACTTCTTGGAGAACTCGGCAAAGTTAACCGAAGCTTCAGGGTGCTTCTTCTTATGCTCCTCCCGGCAGGTCTGGACAAAATATGCATAGGAGGACATCTTGCCCCTCGGCTTTCCTGGCTCTTTCACCATCTTGGCGGCAGTATCTAAAAACAAATGTTGAGATTAAGTTTACAGCTGCACAGGTATTCAGAAGTGTATGAATTTTATTGTTAGGTGTGACTTTGAAAAGAGGAATAAGTGGACAATTGCTTAGATTCTATATGCTAAAAGCTTTGTATAAACATAAAATAAGAAATTTTAAAAAACAAATTCAGTAAGTGGATTTCTAAAAAAAAAAAAAATTTCTAATGAATTATCTATTAAAAATCATAATTATTAATATTAATCATATAGCGGGTAAGATTAAACCGCCTCACACGTTCCTCTCGCCATACAATGGGCACGTATTTCATTTCTCTCCATCCACCACTGGCATTGATGGCACCACCTAAGTGTCCCGCCCTCCCTGCTGTCAAACGGCACTAAGTTAGGTCCCGTAAGACCAGTCCTCTGAAATAAAGCCGTCCGGTGCAGACGAAGCTAATGCGACGAAAATGACTTTATTTATTGATGTAATCTGTGCTGTGGCCTTTACATAAAACTCAGTGGTCCGTGGTCAACTCCCATTCTGGTGCTTTAAAACTGGCATCGCACTTCGCTACGTATTCAATAATAGAAACCACATAAACGTGTATAAATATGTTTTCCGTGCAGCGATGCACTTTGACATGAAACGGCAAAAGTTCCCCAAGTGCGACTGCATAACATAAACCTTAGCCCTCTGTGGGACTATAACGGAGGACCTGGCTCTCAGACAAAATGACTCGTGTTTTTGCACAAAAAAAAAAAAAAAAATACCCTCAAACCCCATCTGCAACAAGAATAGGCCTTCTGGAAACTCCCCGTTTCATTCATGTTCATGTTTTCATCAAACAAATAACTTTGACACAAAAAGACACAAATTACACATAAAGGCGTATTTATTGGAAAAAACACTCAAAACTGCGATTCAGTGTGATTTGACAATCTTCTCTCATCTGTCTTCATCCAGGCTTACTCTGGAAATAATCGCGAAACATTTGCGAAAACGTTTAAAACTGTTCATTTTTCCTTTACATTTTCCTATTAAATGCTACTGTAACTCCCAGTAAAGCGGTGTCGACCGAAGTAGTAATGGCGCATAGGCTTTCGTTGAGGAAAAGGAGGTCAACAACGACGGCAATATTTCTTCTTCCATTTTGTGAGAATGCCTTCTTCATGAAAGAAAGTCCCCCTCAAATGTCTCCTCCCGCCCTTCAGTTCGCTTTGCAACACGACAAATATGTCTGGAAAGCCGGCGATCTTGACAAAATATTTCCCCGATTGATTCCTATTGCACTAGCCGGTTTGTATAGTAATACATTGGGTCTGCACTGTGTCTATGAGCGGGCTGTGCTACTGCCTTGGTTTCTATGAGCTCCTAATGGCCGCTCGTCTTCATCCACTAACATGGAGAATATGGCTCCTTCTCTTTGTGTCAACGCACAGCCATTGCACTGCATGCAATAGAGGGCAGAGCGACCGCGGCGACCACTTCATTTCAACCCCCGATTAAAACCATTTAAAAGCATCGGAAAAATCCCGCAATGGCGTCGTTTGAAACACGAAGGGTTGAACTTTCTTTTGCCGTCGTTACATTTAATAGTTACGGGTTTGTTTCGCGAGAAAACACGGTTAGAAAAAGTTGAACTGAACTGCGCCTCTGTCACTAGCTTTCCATTTGCCTCGCTGCCTTGCCTCCTATGCGAATACAGTCAGCCATTACAGTAAAGCGCAGATCGTGAGGTAATTTTTTCACCGTCTTCTCGGGTGAATTGTGACAAACAAACATATGCCTACATATATTCTGATTCGGTCTCTCTTTTTCTAAGGTTTTTACAAATTTTTGTGTTTGTATCAGAAACCCGCACGCTCTCCAGCCTTCACATGACAGGCGTTCAGCTTCGCAATGCACTGCAATGGCTAGCAAACGGTGAGTCTTCTACCATTGTCGCTAACCGTGTTGTCCGCTAGACATTCCTGAATTTTTACGCGATATCTACCGTTGGGTTTGACTCCATTTTGTGGAAATGACACGACAGTAATATTCGGAATTATTCCTTTTTGACGAAATCGACAGTTTTCGTCGAATTCACTCAAGGTTAATATTAATTTCTGCCTTTTTATGGAGCGTCTGGTCCACACTCCCAGGCAGGGTAAATGTCCGTTACCGTTACCTGCTCAGCGCCGGCTATTTTTTTGTTGTTTTCTTGACGTTTCACGGCGATAAAATTATTTACAAGCGGCGAAAGGCTTCTTATTTGATCATGGCGGACACATACGTGAGATATTAATAAATGTTATCGTCATTCTCGTCGTTACGAACACTTAAAATTTTCGTGTGTGATACTTACCTAGAGACTATCGCTGGATCTCAATGCTCTGCAATGGCTGTGTGTGAGGGAACACAGGCGATACGCAGTGTCTTCAGTCTTCAGCTCTCTAACATTACTCTCGGAGGGGCTCTCACGCCATTGGCCAGCGCCCAGTCTGGCGCTCCTCTGATTGACCGGGAGCTTTTCATTGTCCTAATAGAAGACGAGGTCCCATTGGCTGCCTTTTGTGAAACGTCACTGAAGTTTTCTGAGGCGCGTGGATACAAAAATATTTCTGTCCCAGCATGCTGGAGCTGGTAGTAGTGTAGTGTGTTTGCCATAGTATTGAATTCACTACGTTGAGCTCAGTGTAGTGTACAGTAGGCAAGTTAAATGAATGAGACAACGTGCAGCGCTTGTAGTCAGTGAACGGGGCGGCTGTAAAACGCTGTGCGGTTGAGTTGGACGGGCTGTGCACCTCTTCATCAACCAGCCCCATTGTGCATTCACCTCAATACACGTGAGCTTATTTGCAAATTGTGACTTTGAAAATGCATAAGGTGAACATCGCGTTTTCACGTGCAAACGACAGAAGACATGGTTGCTCATCCCATACGGTACAGTTACGCTATGAATGTGAAATTTTAAAGGATTTGGCTGTGAGTTGGAATGAAAACACAATAACAATCCATTTAATTGTCTGCCTATTAACAACTGTATAAGCCTTTATTTTCATTTTAGACTCTTATTAAGAAAACGTCACTCCTCTGACTACACCACACAGTGTTTTCTTAGTATTTCCGGCAAGTATACACTTAATTTCAGCAGGCACTCATTTAGTGCTTTTGCTATGTTTGCTTATGAGCCTGTAGTCCCTATTAGGCTCATATAGAAATGTATCATGCAGGCATCAGATCATAATAAATGCACTAAATATGCATTCTAGGTCTCACAACGGAGTGTTTTTATTTTTTTCAGCACAATATGATTTTGGCCTCATTTTGATAGCTGATTGAAAGATGATAGTGTCCTCATCCCTAATTAAAACACAGACTCATGGAGATCAAAGAGCTACTGTGCAATTCAAGCCAAAGGTAGTGGGACAAGCAATTTATAGTTGGAAGGAAGGGATTTGGCAATAATATATGTTGACATGATTTTTTAAATTTATTTATTTATTTTAAACACTGCTTTCAGATCTGTTGTTTGCAGTAATACATTCAAACTTGCTAATTACAGGTCCCATTTATATATAACAGGACTGAATAGTAGCCTCACAGCATTGGGCTTTTCACAACCAGCCCCAGAAACATTTTTTGTTCTGTGCAATGAAATAGTTAAGGCCCTAAATTGCAATATACATGCATTGTAAAAAGACTGATTAAAAAACCATTCATTTTAATGCAAACTACTGCTGCCAATCATAATATATTTAAAAGTCAGGGCTTTTACAGCAGTTCATACAGATTTTTATTTTTAATGAAATTGCAATTGCACTGTGTAGGGACTAAAGTCTTTCTTTATACCATCAATGTCCAACTTTTTTAATAATTTCATACTTCTTATAACAGAATATAAACTACATTACATGCAATAAGGGTTTTACACTTTTTTTCACCCCTCATATCTGATACAAACTTTCTAAACCACATTTTGTTGTGGTGCTGATGAAAAATACAGCCCATTAGCTCTGTCAGTAGATGCCAAGACATCATGTGACTGTGTATCTGCTTGTTTGTCTGATCAGAGATCAACAACAGATCTTTTAATATTACACACACACACATCTATATATTGCTGAGCACATGCATGCTATCCTGTGATGAACCTGTGACCTTGCTGTAGCGCCACCATCAGATAAAGATGAGAAAATATTTCATATGTGTATCTGTCTCCCATTAACTGTGCTGTTGTGGTATCTCCTGACCCATGACATAAGCAGACACCACACTTGCTGTGTGCATTAACTAAACATTACTTAGGGTTATATTATAACCTACATTTTACATATGAATCATGCATATAATTTTTCTGTTCATAGATTCACGTTTCCAGCAGGTAGAATACTGCTGTTTTTGACCTTGTGACCTGAGCCTTAGCACCACCATGGGTAAAAGTGTCACATAAACAGCGGAAGAATGGATGTCCATTTAGCAGGATAGTCTGAATGTGTCATTTCAGGACAGTGATTTCAGACAGTAAAAGAGGCCTTTATCAAGATGACTTGCTCATTTTTGCCCAAAGTGGAGGTAATGCAGTTATCTGACTTTAAAGGCTCTGTGTGTTTAAAAGAGGAGGAGGGGGGAGGGGTGCTAAAAGAAAGAGATGTCCCTGTTCATATGATTTGCAAAATACAGCGATATCTCCACTGAAGATAATCATATGTGCTTAATGAATGATTGATTGTTTCTCTACACATTTAATAAGGAAATGGGTCCCTAATAAATATGCTACTGCTTAGCAGATCATTTAGAAACAAAGAAAAATGGCTGACACAGAGTTTATTCTTATCCTTGAATTAAGAATGGGAAGGGTGAACTGATTCCAAATGCCAATCACAACCCAGACTCAGGCCACATGTCTGCCTGTGATGCTGCCTGTCTGTGTCTCATTTTGCATCAGGAGATGCCATGGCAGAAAGCTATAGCCTGCTCATGAGGCTAGGAGGCGGCCGGTTTATGCATTCTAATGAGCGCTCCCTGGGAAAGATATGCAAATTCATTTTGTCATCAAGAGGAAAATAGAGGACAGGAGAGCAGCAGATACAGGAGGGGCTTAAGGGAGGAGGCCACATGCAAGAGGCGGGATTGGGTGGAGGGAGACGTGTGTGTGCACTTCTGTGAATGTGTGTGTGGATTGGGGGGTTCAAGAGCAGGAGGTGTGAGAATTGGGCTGTAGTGTAGAACCAGAGTGGGGGACATATGTAACCCCCATCCCACCCCCATCTAACCAACTCCACCCTTCTCAAATAAAACAATAAATCAGCCTTTACAACACCAGAAGAGTAAACTACAGAGCAGATGAAGGAGGAATTTATTCAGGCTTATATATCAGAATAGAGGTATCTCAGGTGACTACTGCTCCAAGTAAGATGTATCTGAAAATATCTGAAAATAACATGAGATTATCAGTTTCAGTTTTGACAGTCAATTAACAGTTTTGGAAGTGTGTGTGTGTGTATATATATATATATATATATATATATATATGTATATGTATGTATATATTCCCTGGTGCTCCAATTACCACTGGTACCACTGTTACTAATACTCCCCACATCATTTCATTTATTTATTTATTTATTTATTTATTCATTCATGGGGCCTTGTAACCTGTGGCGGGCAATTTCGTATTAATGAGGGGTAAATAAAGGATCATCTGATAACAATGCTACTACCAATACTACTACTAATAATTTTAAGTATTTATCTAACCTTTATTTAATAATAATAATAATAATAATAATACATTGATTAATATTAATCATAAAGTTGGAAAGAATAAAAATTGGATTAGCAAATGAACTTATTACAGTACTAGACTACTTTCAAGCAGTTTATAATTCACTCCTGAAAACATGGCGTTCAATTTTTTATTTCCCTCCTAAAATGATGCCTTTGAAGACATTAAATAATAATTATTACTGAAGCCTGTCACAATTAAACAATAACGTTAATGATAATTAATATCGTGATTAAATGCAGCGTATATTTTATCACGTCCAAGTTTATGTTCTCGCACTGATTACTCTCCATTTCATGGGCAGTGCCTACAGACAGTGCCAACGTGAACAACAGTGCACAGTCACTGCAGTTCACACACCTACCGAGCGGGGGCCAGCGGAACCTTTGTCCGTCAGAGGGGGGAAGACAAAGGCCGCTGCACGAGCGCCGGCGAGCGGAAGAAGAACGTTGGTAACACGAAACGGCGAATGGATTCACATGGACCCACTCTGCAGACAAGGAGTAACAAATACAGCTTTGTTGGATGGATTTCGACAGCCAGGATCATAATTTAAAATCTAATTTAAATTTAATGTCGGTACGTATACGTTTTTATTTACGAAAACAGAAAATGAGACTGTGTAGCGACTGAAATTAATACCCGGCGTTAGGCTAAAATGTTAGCATGCTAGCCGCCAGGTGCAGAAATCAGTTAGTACATGCAGGCTTTTTCATAGAGTTTATCTCAACAACGGGTTTACTAGTTTGAAAACAAATCATAATTGTTTTATTGTGTTAGCTAGCTAATGGGAATAGGCGTTATGTGTCTCATAAATTAAAAAAATAATTTAGTAGTAGTTTAAGTTATCCGATGTATTTGACATTGGAGATGTTATGTGTCTCATAAATTAAAAAAATAATTTAGTAGCAGTTTAAGTTATCCGATGTATTTGACATTGGAGATGTTATGTGTCTCATAAATTAAAAAAATAATTTAGTAGTTAAGTTATCCGATGTATTTGACATTGGAGATGCCTCTTCACACTGTATTAGACTTTGCTCTAACCATCCAGTGTCTCTCAGTGAATTCTTTTGGCTGATTTTAACGCATGGTATTGTCTTTTTGCACTTTTTGGTGCTGTTTTAATAGTTAAATTCAGTGACTCCTTCTCTCCATCATTGGTGGCTGTCCTGGTTGTCCCACGTGTGTCAACTAACACCTGCCTTTAGGCTACTTTTATGGACACAGAAGAACTAGCATAAAGGCAAATGTTAAGGACAGGGAAACATCTTGGGTCCTAGTTTATTTCTTCTAATACCTTAGCAAAAAAGAAAAAGTTCTTGTAATAGAACACAAATAATTCTAAACTCCTAAACTTATATATATATTTATACAAAACGTATAGACAAATGTGAAGTGGGGGTGAATAGTATTAATAAAATATTGAACCACAATATACAGCACTTCATATTATTACTAGTATTACAATCCCAATTCCATAAGAAGTTGGGACACTGTAAATTAAAGCAAAATGCAACATTTTGTAAACTCTCAACATAAATTAAGTCCAAAGACCAGATATTTAATGTTCAGACAGATAAACTGTATTGTTTTTTGTAAATATACATATTTCTGAATCTGATGCATGCAACATGTTCCAAAACAGTTGGGCCATGGACATGTTTATCACTGTGTTACATCACCTTTTCTTTTTACAACACCCAAT